GTAATATAATATATATAATACATATATATTAATATAATAAAATTTAATAATAATTTATTTTATTATTATTATTATTATATAGTGACAAATTTTTCCTTAATATTATCAATAATATAATTTTCAATGCTCTTCAAATACTGTTGCAAAAAATTGTACTTTTTGTTCAATATATATTCAACGTTGCAGTAATATCTTGTAATCAATGTTGAAAAATCAACATAAATTCCATGTAGAAAAAACATCCACACTTCTATTTTCAACATTGCAACGTCTCATCAAGGTTTTTTCAACGTTCTGTGTTATATGGGGTTGGTTCTGGCACCCACTCCCGGGTTAAAACAGTACTTAAGATGATCTTAAATATAAGATCAGACTATGAATACCGGTCCTAGATAAATATATTTTACAAAAATATTTTATGCATATATGTCTTACTTCTCTTTTATTATATAAAATATTTACTAAGTAGTTTATTTTTGTTGTTGTACTAAATAATATTTAAAAAAAATTATAATTATTGTTTCAGCTGCATATGGGGATAATATAAAACACTTGGGCCGGTATTCATAGTCCGATTTTATATTTAAGATCATCTTAAGTACTGTTTTAAGATGTCATGAACCAACCACAGAGCCGTATTCGCATCTTAAGACATTACTTAAGACGGTCATGAAATAAGATTCGATTATGGATATCGGCTTTAATATCAGTTAAAGAAGTAGCGCAACAGCCAAGATGATATAGGCTTTCTACAATAAGCGTTAGGGCTATCGCACACAAATTGACATAACTGCATATGCATAGCATAAGACCGTATGTACCAATGAGCATCGAGTATTAAGTCGCCATATTGGTGTTCGATGCTTAATATTCGATGCTCATTGGTCCATACGATCTTATGCTATGCATATGCAGTTATGTCAATTTGTGTGCGATAGCCCTTAGGGATTGAAAATCCGTGCAACGAAAATTGCGCAACGCTCATGATTGGTTCCACTCTCGTTCCGCGCTGCGCTATTCCGCTGCATGAATTTGCATTCAACTCATGGCATTGGGTGTTTCCGATAATACCTCTCCGAGTCATTTCCCTAGAGCAGAAATAAGTTACAGACATCACCATCTACTTCTATTATGTGATTCATGACAACCCAAAGCTACTTAATGCTGTCTTAGGGCTATCGCACACAAATTGACATAACTGCATATGCATAGCATAAGATCGTATGTACCAATGAGCATCGAGTATTAAGTCGCCATATTGGTGTTCGATGCTTAATATTCGATGCTCATTGGTCCATACGATCTTATGCTATGCATATGCAGTTATGTCAATTTGTGTGCGATAGCCCTTACGACTGTAAGCAGTCGTAAGGTTAGGCAGAACAATACCGTGACAAATACATAAGATAATTTTGAAAAATTGTATTATTGATTATAAAATCATCTGGTGTTGTTTTCTAATAAAATTTTATTTATTCTTAATTAAAATTATAGAACCATTAAAATATATATTATATTTTTCAAATATTATCGTAAAGTAAAATGTCACACTGTTTTAATCTATTTATAAGTATTATTTTTACATGACTCGTGTATGTGCAAGTCCACAATGAATTATGACATTAGGATATATTGATGATAAAACAAGATAGATTTGTTTGTATAGTTTGTTTTAAATTGTATGTAATTCTACAAATATTTCTTAATATTACTATTTTTTAACATTATTTGAGTTATTTCTTTTATACTTTAATACTTAATACAACTAAACATTTTTAGATAAAAAATGGATGTACTAGAAATGTGGGAAATATTTTTTGATTACCCATCTTGATGAAGATGATGAGGATAACTTCCAACCTCCACGGGAACATCATATAAAGACCCCACATTTTTTTGAAAACATTGTCGTAGCATATTCATTGACAGGTAAAAGAATTTGAAATTTTGCTGTACTATAATAATTTATTGTTTTAAGTTTATATAAATGTTCTTGCATTATATGTTTTGATTACAATAAACTATACTAACATTATTAAAATATATTTTAAATCTATTTTGTTTTGTCATCAATATACCCTAATGGCATAATTTATTGTGGACCTGCACCTGCACGAGTCATATAAAAACAATACTTGCAAATAGGTTAAAACAATGTGATATTTTACTTTAAGATAATATTTGAAAAATATAATATATATTTTAATGGTTATATAACTTTAATTAAAAATAAATAAAATTTTATTAGAAAACAACACCAGATGATTTTATAATCAATAATACAATTTTACAAAATTATTATCTCGTATATTTGTCACAGTATTGTTCTGCCTAACCCACTGCTTTCAGTCGTGATATAGCATTAAATAGCTTTGAGTTGTCATGAATCACATAATAGTAGTAGATGATGATGTCTGTAACTTATTTTTGCTCTAAGGAAATGACTCGGAGAGATATTATCGGAAACACTCAGCATTAGGTAGCTTTGGGTTGTCATGAATCACATAATAGTAGTAGATGGTGATGTCTGTAACTTATTTCTGCTCTAGGAAAATGACTCGGAGAGGTATTATCAGAAACACTCAATATGAGGTAGGCTTAAGTTGTCATGAACTATGTAGTTACTAAATGGTTGTGCCTATAACATTTTTCAACTCCAATATAATTAACTCTACTTGGGCTGCGTTCAGGGTAGCGATCATGAATCTTTCACATAAACTTCATTTTCATTTTTCACTTTTCACTGTAAGTTATTTCACATGAAAAGTGAACAATGAAAACGTAGAAAGCAATATTTATGTAATATAGATTATTAAAATTAAAATGTAATTACAGTATACACAATATAATATTAACACAATATAATATATAACACATTAATAAACATTATACAACTTAAATTTATAGTTATAACATAATATAATAATAAAATATGAGTAAATTTAATGAATGAGACGAACGTGTTAATCGTGAAAGGTGAATTCTCAAAACGTGAAATATTTTACGTGTACTTTCAGTTTGCTCGTAGATGTTCTTTATATGTAAATTGTGTAAATTTCCATGAAAATTTTTAAGCATTAAGCGATGTGGTTTAAATATGAAAAATAATGTAATACTACGCTCGCATATTATGTACAAAGTGAGTAGAATTTCTTATAGTGACTTTAATTTTTATGGTTATACGACAATTGGCATTTGACATAAGAATCCTACGTCCATTAAAAATGAACAACGAAAGCTAATTGAAGCGTGATGACGTATAGTCAGTGAAAGCATACCGACGAAGTTTGCAAAGTTAAGATACGTATGCATCAGAAAGTTAAAGTGTAATATATTATAAATTGTATGCAGTAATTAAATGTAAGTTTACTGTATGTATTTATTGCATGTATCTTATGTATTATTTTATATGAAATATATATTTTCTGCAGATTTATAATTTTGATATGAATAGAATATTTTATCTTTTCATAATTTATCCTAAAGTAATCCCAGACAAGCAGACTTTCAAGGGACGTTCTAAAGACGTCACTATGTCTTAAAAACATGCTGAAAAAAATTCTAAAAATGTCCCTTGCAAATTGGTGTTGTCTTAAGTATATTGTAATATTTGTCTTACTTAGATTACTCTTGGCTCATATAGTTAACACTGACTCTAAATAGTAAAATGCTCAGACAGCACAAAATCTTCTAAAGACATCCCAGGGACGTCCTGAAGACGAAGAAACGTCCTCAGGACGTACTCTGGACGTTTTCTGGACATCTGTGCTGTTAGAGTGACGTCTTAATGATGTTAAATAATGCTTTAATAATGTCTTTAATGTCAATAAGACATCACTAAAATGTCAGTTGACATTATTTTGCTGCTATGTTGAACAAAATTTTTGCGTGAAAAATTTCAATTTTCACAAATTCACGTTAAATCTTTCATTTTTCACGAGTTTAGTGAAAGTTTTCATCTTTCACGAGTTCATTACAAAATTTTCACTTTTCACGAGTTCACACTAGGGGAAAAGATTCATGATCGCTACCCTGATCTCCCATTCGGGTGTATTCTATTACTAGAAATACTATAGTATATGTAACATATACTATAGTATTTTTAATAATACCAGGGGGCTTATTCTGAAATTTGTTGCGTTATAATTTCACTAACGAAATTTGCGTTAACTCGTAACGCATTATTCTTAAGAATCCTATTCTAAAAGCTACGTTAATGTTTTGCGTTATGAGTCGTCAGTTCTTCGGGCATCTTCGGGAATATAACGCAAATTGCGAAGGAACTAGGAGGAAATAAGGACGTAATAATCTCTACACCAATCATAGCAAAAGATTTAAAATATTTGAATCAGCTAAG